GGAAATTGAAATAAATGAAAACCAAAACCTAAAAGCTTCCATAGTCAAATATTGGGAAATAATCAGATTACTGAATATAAACAGTTTTCTTCATCTCATGCAAGAAGGCATATACTGGGGGCCTCCCCGGTGGTGCAGCGCTTGAGCTCTGGGTTGCGAAGCTGCCTGCAGCCTCTGCAGCGCCGGTTCGATCCCCGGCTGCTCCGCGGCCACCAGAGGAGGGTCCCACATGGCGTGCAGACCTCTCCTGCCGCCCGCTGCTCCCCTCAGCTGTGTGCTTCGGTCCTTCTGCCTGTTCTGCTCTCTGCTCTGGCTCTGGTGAATTCTCTCACCCTCCCGTGCTTCTGACTGTACCCAATGCTTGTATAAAATAAACAATAAAATAAATCTTAAAAAAAAAAAAAGGCATACACTAGGATTCTTGGCCAAGTTTACTTGTACTTTAGAAATGCATTTGATCACAAAATTTTCCCAATAATTTCACTATTTCAGGAAACATGTTCTAACAAGATTATCTCTGATTTTTAAAATCCTTGGGCAGCCACAGAGAAGTTGATTTTTCTAAAATCAGGCCAAGCTCACCTTACCTGCCGGTTGACTGGCTCTCAAAAGCTGGTCTGTTAGCTCCAATTCCTGGTTAGCCTTTTCTGGATGCTGAAGTAGAAAAATGTCTCATTTCTCCCCCTCCCCCACCCTTTTCCCTCTATTTTCTAAAAAAAAAAGAAAAAGGGTAGAGACAGATTATATAGCACTGACTTTCCCCTGGGTATGTGCTAGAAATATTCAGTCACTCCTCAGTGCTTAGTGAACGTCTTTGTAGCACCCCCTCACCTTTCAGATAAACAGTGGGTTCCTTACTCTTTCTGTAAATCAGCTCCTATTTTCTCACTGATTCACATGAAAATTTCAGATGAGAAGTCAATATATACCCGTTCCCAGCAAATTAGTCATAAGTTTCACTGATTGCTCCTCTCTTTTCCACATTTCTCTACCAAGTACTTATGATGTATAAACACTAAAAAATGAAAAACCAAAAAATTTCAAGGACTCCTTTAGGAAGCCTTTTTTTAAGCAAAAGAGAGTCCTTTTCAAAATATGATTCCTCAATTAAACAGATCAAAGGCCATAAATAAACGAAACATATAGGGGCTTAATAGATGCTAAAGTTAGTTTTTAAATCCACAGTTGAATAAATGGTGTTGAAATGACAAGGTAGAAATTAAGAAAAAAACTTACAACTCACACCTGATACTCAAAATACATTCCAAATGAATCAGTTTTAACACGAAAAATAAAATCATGAAGACTAATAAAAAAAATACAATCATTCCTATGGTCTAGTACTTGAACTGACATAATGTTTGCTGAGCAATATCCTTGTGACAAGTACAGTATATTATTATAGTAAGGGCACCTTGCTGGTCATTCCAACTTACCAAGAAATGTGTCCATACAGACTTGTTCTGGGTTCCCATTGTGACTTACGGGGACATGTTCACAATATCTGGAGCCCTGAATGTCTTATAAATGAAGGAAGAACATGTCTTCAAATTCCTTGCAGTAGGAATCCACTGAGGTGGCTCTTGCCTTGACTTCTGAATGGAACAGTATATCTACAACAAGAAAAGTAATGGCATCTCCATCAAAAATCTGAAGGGATCCTGGGAGAAATTTCTGCTGGCATCTTGTGTCACTACCCCACTGAAAATCCTGTTGATGTTAGGAATACTGGAGAAGCCATTGGAACCATTCCAATTTCTGGTCGCTTCACTCATGGAACCTTCACTGGCCAGATGCAGGCAACCTTCCTGAAACCCTGATGTTCAGCATTACTGATCCCAGGATTGAACACTAACTTTCCATTATTGTGTGTTAACCTGTCTTCCATTATTGTGGGTGGCACAAATGTTCTTCCAGGATTATTCAGAAATCGCTATCCTATGCGAGAATAAGGGGGTCTGGTGAATTAGTGGGGGGTCTCATGTGGTAGATGCTGGTCTTAGAAATTCAGCTCATAAGTGACCCCCTCTCCTGTCAACACACATGGGAACTCATGCCTGATGTCTGTGCCTACTGCTGAGATCCTGAAGAGATGGAAACATAAGAGTAGGTTGCTGCTGAAAAGGCTGAGATCCAGGAGAAATTTCAGGGGCAATGGACTGCTCCAGGTCCCAAATTTATTGCTACTCCACCCAGGTTCACAGACTGTTTTGAAGGTGCAGGTCCTCTATGCCCATCCAGCAGTTCCCTTTTGAAGACTGCAGCTCTCTCTGCAACTCCTTTGGCTCAGGTCATGGAATGGAGAGAAGCAAACACTGAGTGACTTTGAGCTGTTCTTCCACACATTCTTAGTGGATAGTGGAAATCAGATTGATAGAAAATAGCTTCTTTAAAAAAATGAGTTCAATTCCCCATGTCCATGACCTTGTATAGTCCCCTCCCATGTTGACTTAAGGCTTTTGGCCATGTGACTTGGTTTGATCATGTAATATCAGCAAATATGACACAAAGTAAGGCTTGGAAAGCATCTGTGCACCGAGGCTTATTCTCTTGGCGCATGGCCACCATGTGCAAAGCTTGACTAGCTCCAGAGGACACAAGGCCCTGATGACAGCCAGCAGCTTACAGACATATGAGTGAGGCCCTCTAAGTCCATACAGCCACAATTGACTCAACTCCCTGAATAATCCCAGACAAGTCAGCAGATAGACACCTACCTGAGCCCTGACCAAAATGATGACAACAGAATGAACAACTAAAATGGTGGCTGATTTAGATCACCAAGCATTTGTTGTGCTGTGATGAAGAAATAGTTAACTGATATAACAGGTCTGGGGTAGCTTGGGATCAGTGGAAACAAGAAGATTTGAACATGAGACATTTGGAATAATTCATGTGTCTTGATGACGCTTCATGAAAGGGCTCAGAGAAAAAGGCAGAGCAGATCAAACAACATAAAAAGTTAGAAATAAAAAAAATCAAAGTGAGTACAGGAATGAAGCTGGAAGAGCAGTCTTGAAGAAAATATTTCTGCCTACAGTTAAAAATATTAGCTCATTTATTTTGAAGACTACAGATATTAATTGCAATATTGTGATACTTCAAAATTTCAGTTTAGTGTAAATTTGTGAAGACTTTTTTTTTTTAAAGATTTATTTATTTATGCACACAAGAGCTGGGGTACAGGCCAGAGATGGGGGAATGAGAGGATTCACCAGAGACAGAGTGGGGAGCAGAACAGGTAGATGTATAGAAATACACTGCTGAGGGGAGCAGTAGGCGACACAGGAGAGGTCTGCTGTGCCATGTGGGTTGCTCCCTGGCCAGCCGGGGATCGAACCCATGCTGCGGATTGCTTCACAGTGCGGTGCCTAACTGTGCCACCAGGAAGGCTCTAAATTTGTGAAGACTTAAAGGCACTACGAAGTTAGTCATTTTTTACTTTACATGGAAAAATAAGTTTTTAGAAAAAACAGGAAAGCACTAAACTAAAAATCAATAATAATTTATATTGCTCTAATGATACAATTCATTTCAATGTATTAGCTGTCCACTTCCTAGTACTCCATTCATTTAGCAGTAAGGTTGCTAAAAACAAAGCTTTGAATGGAATGCCTGCATAATTTACCAGTTAAATTTACAGATAGAGATATCAGTGGTATTTATAGTTTGCTAGATGCTGAATGTTAACAATGATTATTGTATTAGTCAAGAAGAAACAGTACCTTAGACATTTAGCACTTAGCATTATGTTTAAGAACATTAGCCTGAGGTAAGGTGTCAATTAAATCCCCTGCTTTATTTTTATCATATTGAAAAAAAAATCATAGTAATACACAATAAATGCAACAACAGAGTCATAAATAACTAAAAGAACTGACAGTAAAAAAAGAAAATCTTAAAAGTGGTGGCAATGAATAAAATGGACACAACCCAATGACCCAAGTACATTTATATAGGCTAGGAGAATCAGAATATATATATGTATATATGTACATGGTGTCCATTTATATATCATATGCTAGAGTGACAGTCTCTTGGAAATGAAATTATAAGGTCAAAAAGTAGGTGAATTTCAAGATCTTGTAGCCATTAAGCACTCACAGTTAAAGAAACAATAGCATTGTTGAAATAAGTGTTAAAGATGAAAAAATGATTTGCATTTGGAGATCTGGAAGATTTATGTGATTCTATTTTGTATTAACTAGTCGGACATTAATGTTTGAAATATGAAGATGCGTTTAAAAAAGCCAATAAAATTAGGGAGTAGGGTCTTCTGGTAATAAATCTAGTACTTTGCCTTGTAATAAAACTTGTATAAACAGTTTCCAATTTTCCGGAAATAGAAGAGAATAAAACACGCACAATGTTAATCAGCATGGAATCCTACTCCGACCTTCCCTTTCTTTGAATGTCCAGTTAATTAGCTTCCCGCGCTCGAGCCAGCATCACATTGGGGGGTAACTAAGCTCTCTGCACCACGCAAGCAGTCAGCGTTCAAGAAAAGGGCCTGCCCACGCAAGTACCGCACCCCCAGTTGCGGCGGGATCCCCCCCACTCCAAGGGCCCCAAAGCCAGTCTCGGGGCAGAGTCCTACTTGGAAAGTACCGGGAGGTAAGGGAGCCAAGTCAAGCTCTCCCCCTCCCGGGCTGGGCGGAGCCGGACCCTCGGAAGAACTGGCAGTGGCGGTGGCGCGGTGTGCCCAGGAGCCCAGGAGCGGTGCGCCCAGGAGCGGTGCGCCCAGGAGCGGTGCGCCCAGGAGAGGGGCACGGAGTCTGGGGCGCACTGGGGCTGACAGCGGACCGCCCGGGTTGCGCGCCGGGGACAACGTGGGAGCGCGCCGCCCCGGACCCGCCCAGGCGCCCGGCTGTACCCGGACGTTCCCACAAGTGGCCGAACCAGCTGGACGAGCCTCTCGCGCGGCGGCTCCGAAAGCAGCCGGTGGCCCCGGACTTCCCGCCGTCGCGTCGCGGAGCCCTGTCGGCCGCCTCCCGTCGGGCGGCATGGAGGCGGACGGGGAGCGGGACGAGCTGGCCCCGCTGCGCTCCGCCTTCGCGGCCTGCGACGCGAACCGCTCCGGGCGCCTGGAGCGCGAGGAGTTCAGCGCGCTGTGCGCGGAGCTGCGCGTGCGGCCGGCCGACGCCGAGGCGTTGTTCCAGCAGCTCGACGCCGACCGCGACGGGGCCATCACGTTCCAGGAGTTCGCGCTCGGCTTCCGCGGGACTGTTGGAGAGGGGCGGCACCGGGGCCGGGGTTCCCCGGAGCCCGCGCCCGCCGCGGCCCAGCGAGGGTCGGACCCCGGGGACAGCGAGGAGGAGGAGAGCGGCGAGGAGGGGCCGGCGGCGCTGCTGTCTTCCTGGGACCCGGCGAGGCCTGGCCGGGCTTGGCAGGATTTCCAGACGCGGCTCGGGGACCAGGCCAAGTTCATCCCCAGGTGCGTGCGTGGGTTGGGGGGCGGGAGGCGTGAGGATGGAGTTTCCTGCCCACCCGGTGCGCTGACTTTCCCACTCGTAACGCGTGGGGTGTGCGGACCCACTCGGTCCTACTCCGAGTTGCCTGTCTCAGTTCACCAACTCACTTAAACTTGTCCAAGGAGAGCGCCCTTAGCGTTAGGGAAAGGGAATATTTTCATTGTCAGGGTTTGGGGAGAAAGTGTCACTTGCTCATTACTGTGCCTTGCAAAGGGCACTTTATTACATGGGCCACAGAGAAATCCGCAGCATCTGGAGATTCTTCCGGACACAGGTTTAGGTGTCCCCTAAACCTGTGTGATCTGGTTGCGTCACTCCTACTCAAGGCCTCCGGTTGCACCTGGGCATGGTGAGCCAGGCTGGTGGCCAATTTGGCATCCTCTATAGTAGTGTTGCGTTGGTTGTTCACCTCGGTCTACTAGGAAAACAAGATCGGTCATGTGTACTGCAGGACACAAATAGTCATCAATGCCTACTATGTGCTAGGCATTCTTAGTTCACTTATTAAAATTTCAGGACAATCCTGCGAAGTAGGTTTTCCATGATAGGTGGAGTAACTTAGACACAGAGATTTAGCCCTAAACATTAAGAGACTTGTCCTGTTAACAAAAGAATGGGGATTTGAAACCATTTTTATATAACTGAATGAAATGATGCAAATCATATAATAAATTCTCTATTCTTAGTTCAGACAGGAATAGCAATTATATCAAGTTACTAACTTAATTCCCTGCCTATTCAGGACAGAGAGGGAAAGACACTGGGGGGGTTTATTCTTTGAGGTTAATTTGCATCTACCTTTGCCTTGTCCTGGAATGTCCAGAGCAGCAACTTCATTAATATTCATATGTGAAGTGTTTTTCGACTTTTTGTTTGGATTTTAGTTGAAATTTTTATGGAGCTGTGGTTCTCATTATTGAGAAGATTTGAAAGGCATTATTTGGGTTGGCAGTTCACAGATGTGACATGAGACTGAGAAAAGAAAAAGCCCTGGGAGTAATCAGTGGCCAAGCTGACTGGTTCACAGCTGAGACCTGCAGAGCTGGGTGTCCTCACTTCCTCCTCCGCCCAGCTTCTCCTTCTAGTTTGGAAAGTGAGGTGAACACTGTCTGCAAAGAGTGACTCATTGCAAAAAGGAGGGACTGTGTACAGAAAGTGGGTGTGATGCCCATCTTTTCTTTTATTTGCTAATGAGTTAAAATGTAGTATCTCCATTAGGAAAGTAGAAACATTTAAACGTTGCGTCATCTTCCATCTAGAATTTGGTTTGGGTCCAGCTAGTTTAAGAAGTTATCAATTTTAGGATTAAAGAAGGTTAAGTCCATATATTTTATACATAAGCACACATATGGATGTACTGTCCAGTTATCAAGTCTCACTAGCAAATATTTGACACGTAACCTGTAAATGATTAAAATGATCTTAAGACCAGCATGCAAACCCAGACTTAACATTTTGGTGATATTATTATTACTATTATTTATCATCATCATGATGCCCTTCCAGACTCTTTGGAGGTTGCTAAATTTAATGGACACTGGTGTCACCTGATAGACTTGTATTCAAACCCCACCCCCTTCTGATGTGAGATTAACAAGTACAATATTTGCCATCCTGTACTTGCTCAAGTGGAAAAGAACCAACCTAAGTTACTTCATCTGATTGTTACCATGGCAGCCCTTAACTGTTTTGGTAAATTGGATTGCTTCTGTTATACTTCCTTATACAGCTGTTGACCTTCCCTTCCTCCCACCCAAATGCAATAAAAATCTTTGGATATTGATAATGTTGTTGCCATTATTTCAGGCAAATTAATTCTACAAACATTATTAAGTGTCGCTTTTGTGCCAGACACTGTCTTAGGGCCTATCCTAGGTCCCTGGGGGCAAGAGGTTCATTGTGTGGGTGAAACATTTCTCAAAAAAATCCTCAAAGGACATTTAAAGACAAGAGAGCTATTTACAGGAAACAATATTTTGTGGAAGGAGCCAATAGACTGTTGAAAGCAGGAGCTTTCTTTGAAATCTTGCATTTTTAATCTGTAAATAATTAAGTATGTGTTCATTTTACTCTATAATATACTGGGACAAAATAAATGAGTGAACAAAAAATTAACTTTTGAACTCTGAGACCAAATTAGTGGTTGCCTGAAGGGAAGGGGCAGGAGGGTGTAATTTGGGTAAAAGGGTTAAATTGTACGGTGAAGGGTAGAATTGAACTTTTAGGGGTGAAGTTAATGCTTCATACAGAGATACTGATTTATAATAATGCATACATGTTTTAATGTAATTTTACTTCAATAAAAATTTTAAACAAAAGAAATAGATTTTTTGAGATCAGATAATAAAGGTACATCTATCTATCTATCTTTTTTTCTTCTAAGGGGAAAATTGTCTCTCTGAAAAATTGTGCCATTTCATCTGGTGTCTTTGTTTCCCATCTAATATTCCATCTTTCCCTGGTGATAGCCTGTCCCTTGCCTGTCCCAGAAGATTACATGTTCAGTTTGATAAGAACAGATATCAGATGAGAATGTGTGGTTCCTGTAGAGGCAAAATATGACAGTATGACATAATTTCCACTTCAAAGCTCTTAGGTCAAATAATGAAGCAATTTTTGGTTAGACTTCCCAGTCACCAGTAATTATGATATTAGAGAGAAAATAATACTGCATCGTGAATGGATGAAAATGGTCTCTGGGATATGTGTCAACAGTTTCTTAAGTTGTTTTTTCCTTAGAAAATTGAGGGACTGGGCCTCACCTGGTGGCGCAGCAGTTGAGCGCTGGCCTGCGAGGCTGCCCGCAGCCTCTGCAGCGCCGGTTTGTTCCCTGGCCACCTGTGAGGGTCCCACAAAAAAAAAAAAAAAAAAAAAAAAAAGAAAATTGAGGGACTCTTTTCCTTAAAGACTGGGGAGGGGGAGTCTCCCACAAAGTCTTGTGACCTGTTAACTTGAACCTAGAGGAATCAGTGATCTGTACTGTCAGGATGGGCTGTTTCCACTTCCTACTAAGCAGGAACTCAGTCAGACAATGCGTGAAACAAGAATGGCAAGATGATATGGCTATGGAAGAGAATTCAGAAAAGAATATTGTTTCAGATAAGAAAAACCCAGAAAGTGGGGATTCACGGTCATGTGGGAGACAGCGAATAGACTTGTCTAACCTACCTGGCCTATTTATTTTCCTAGGGATGTTATGTTATTGTGGTGACCGAGAGATTCATGTTCAGTAGTTACTCAGTAGATGTTTGGTGAATGATTTGAATGACTTCTATTCATTCGTCCATATACTGAGAATGCACTTAATTCACATTGTATGAGTTCTCTCCTTGATTCATTTGTGCTTTCTCTCCTGATTTTTTCCAGTTCCTGGTGTGAGCTGGTCAGAGTGTTCAGACATTTGCATGGACAAGAAAATAGGCTGTGTGCTTTGAGGACTTGAAGGGCAGGGGATGGTGGAACTCATCTTTCCTGTAGAGTTGGAGCTTTTCAATTTTCTTAACTGCATTTGTAATGATTTTTGAGTTTATTTGTGAATTGATTCACTTTGATAGATTAACTTGGAACTTCACATTCTCACAAATAGAAATGTGCCTGCACCACAGTGGATGTGTGAACGGGTATGGCTATCTCCATACTGGCCTAACCTGGGACAGATCCAGGCTGGATGCCAGGAATATAATAGATATTAATACAATAGCTGACCTGCCAGGCCAGACAGGATTAGGGTGAGATCAGCTCAGATGCTAAAATCAACCCTTTGTGATCAGCTGTTTCACATGGTTTGAGACTTTTCTACATGAACAATGTTGAAGGGGGGTCTTTTATTTAATAATTGAGAAGCGAGAAATGTATTTGAGAAGAACCAAAATTACCCACATGTGAAGTATATATGGATTGTCAACACGGTTTTCTCAGCATGCCCACATAACTTTAAGGATGATTGCTAATATTGAGAGGAAAAGGTAACAGGTGAACATTAATCATATGTACCTAGGGCATTTTTTAAGAACAAATAGCTGTAAGTAGCAGAAGTAGAGTTTCAGAGTTGGTCAGGGTTTTTTCACATTTCCCTTTCACATTTCCCTTTTAGCCCTTTTTACTTTGTCTTGTTTTAAAATAGTGTGGTCACCTGATAGGCCCACGTCACTTGCATAATGTGGTGCTTGGCAGGGTTGGGTAGGGAGAGGAGAGGTGGAGGCAGAGAAGATGAGCACAGTGAGGGTGACAGGTGAGTGGGTGGGAAAGACGGGAATCAACAGAGGGAGAGACATTGATCTATTGGTTAAATAGTGCCTCAGTTTCCCCTCTCTTCCCACTCAATGCATTTGTGGCCCTGAGCATACTTTAGATGGGAGAAGCAAAGCCGCTCTTCTCTGTTTGATCTCAGTTCTTGAGTATCTTCAAAATGTGAGCATCTTGGTGCTATGGACTGTGTTTATAGTGTTTGATAATAAATATATTATTTTCATACACATGGCCAATAATATCCAGTGCTCACTCAAAGAGGTAAAAATATGTTACAGCTTGAGGCAAGATGGCGCGTTGGACTCATCCTGGAAGAGGTTCAAGTTTGTTTCTGACTGTGTGTGATATTTATCTTTAGCACTGGCTTTGGGACTTCTCAGTGTGCTCGCCATAGGCTTCCTGGAGGTTCTGTTTCTTTGCCTTTTCTGGATTCAGAACTGGGGATTTTTCTCTCTCACACACACATATACATATATCATGAGATATGTGTATGAGAGTATTTAGAGTATATATTCAAGTATGAGATATCTCTATATTATTTTCTCACTGTTGGTAGTCTGATAGGTCTTATTTTTTTTTTCCTTTTATGTCTTGTCTGTCAGAGTTATTTGTGTCATCACCCTGCTGGCAAGAGAAAACTGTCTGCTAAGAAAACCAGAGCTTTACCTTAAACCCTGCGAACCTTGCTCCTGGGTCCTTGATGGCTTAATGTTCA